TAAGTAAATACGGTTGTTGTGGGTTTTTCGGGCTCTTTGGACGTGTTCTGAAGGTTGTTCTTCCTAACATTTCGCCAGTCTCTGTGGCTGGCATCTTCAGAGGACAGAGGACAACACGTTAGGAAGAACAACCTTCAGAACACGGCCAAAGAGCCCGAAAAACCCACAACAACCATTAGATCCCAGCCATGAAAGCCTTCACGAATGTAAATAAATGTTTTTTTTCTTTTCTGTTTAAACTACTATATTTGTACTGCAGCTGTGTTTATATTTTTTATGCTGTCTTAATTATAAAAAGAGACTTGCCAAGCTTCCACAGCATAGATACCTCTTTCAACAGGGATATAGCCGGGATAGAGCAGAAAATTATGGGACCCATTTGGCCATCTTTGTGCTTGGCATTGATCTATGCTTTTATCTTCTGTAGTCAGAACAGCACAGGAAGAATCTTTACTTTTACACACTGAGGAGTTCCTGTCAGCTTATTAAGCAAGTAGGGCAAGGGAGATCCCCTGACTGAATTGACACATGCCTGTGCCCTTTCCAAAAGGTGGCAGACATAAGGTCCTCACATTACAAGATGGAGAGAAGTGGGGTGCTTGGATCAAGCATCTTGCCCAAGAACACATTGGGCTATGTGAGGATTCTGCTGTCTAACCTCAGTACATTTCATGAGAATTTTGAATCACCATAATAGCTCCTGTACCTATCTGAACTGCAATCACAAAATTTACAAACAGCAGATACAATAACATAAACTCAAGCTTTGGTTCTGTTTCATTTTAGTATAGCTTATACCATTATCTGGAAAGTGTTGCAATTAACTTCTGGTGTACATTTTAAATTGATTTATGATCACATTATGTACACCTCTCACTTCACAATTTCAGATTAATAAATTATGCTGTTTATATACTGCCCCTTTGTGCTTGAAGCTCTCTTTGGGTGGTTTACAATTTAATTATACAGCCTACACACAGCTTCATCAGTGATGATAAAGTCTTCCCCATTCCATACCCAGCAGCTCGCAAAAGCTTCTCCAGGGCAAAAAGTAGCACTAGAGCGCCTCGGAAAATGAAACAGGATGCTTTAAATCAATTTAAATGGATTATTTCCAGCATCCCGATTTGATTTGCACCAATGCAAAGTTACAAGGTAGGATTTTGCCCACTGTTTTTGAAGGCTTTCTTCTAGTCTGGATTTTATTTTATTCTACTGTGGATTCTAACTGGATAGTATCAGCTGTTGCTAAGTGAAGTGTTATATTCAGTACCTCATTAGTGTGACAATAAGTGTGATGCAAAAATAATGAATTTGTTTTCCCATTTCATGCTTCAAACAATTGACAGTGTTTTCCCTCAAAGGTATGCCAAGGATTGTTCAAGGAGTTACTTGAAAATGGGGTTTCTGTTTGGCCTGGATATCTTGAAACTACACAGTTGACTTTGGAGCAGCTGTATCTAAAGTAAGGAGGGGGGAATGTGGTACATTCATCTAGCAACTGAGTCTTGGGAGCTGCCATTTGCTAAAAAATGTAACTTTGTCAAGGGGAAGAGCACTTTTTCACCAAATTAACCTTAACATAATCAAAATAATTGAGGATAGCATTTGACTTGTTCAAGTCTGTTTTGATTAGATGATTTCTTTAAGTAGATTGGTACCCAGGCTCATTTGCCTTCTGGAAAACAATCAGGACAGCTTTTGGAATAATTAATAATCCATGCTAATAAAAAAAAACCTCATTCGTTCATGCTGTTAACTCCAAATCATTTATGACTGCAGTGTTAATCTGTAGAGTCATCCTGTTTTGCTGTTCTCATCTGGGGACGCAGTAGATGTACTGTAATAATATTGTGACAATGCATATTTTAAAATCTGTGGTCTTGTCCTTGAGAAATTGTAGGAGTAATATGTTGGTGACCCAAAGGAAGAGCAAAGGGTAGCACATGATGTTCAGGAAAAGGGAGGAATGGCTCCATGCAGTTTGCTACTTATCTTCTTGTATTGTGGGTATGTAGCAAATCACAGCTCTGTATTACTAGGAATTATTCCAGTATGAAGGATTGAGTGAACTACTATTGGGTTAAATTGTGATACCTAAAAAATACATGAGGTTGCTAAATTCCCTCTTTTTTTCCTCTCAGGCAAAGTGTTTATAATTAATATTTGCAGGTTAAGAGAAAAAATTTACAGAAGAAACAGGAACTGATCTGCCTTTACAGGGCAACACTTCTACAGTCAACCCTCGACTTCTGAACGTCCTTAGATATGGACTTTTCCATTTGCTCCCTGCAAAAAGGCAGGGAGAAAGGGCTGGAAATTAAAATTTCCCGCCCTTTCTCCCTGCCTTTTTGGCTTCAGAGCTCTCAAAGGGCTTCCTCTGATGTAGGGGGGGCCCCCTTTGAGACCTCCGAAGCCAAAAAGGTAGGGAGAAAGGGCAGGAAATTGGAATTTCCAGCCCTTCCCCTCTGCTTTCTTTGCCTTTTGAAATGCTGGCACGGCTTAATTCTGTTCCCATGCATTTCAAATGGAAATGGTACTTCGACTTACGAACTTTTCGACGTGCAGTACGAACGTCATTCCAATACTGATTAAGTTCGTAAGTCGAGGTACCACTGTAGTTAGTTGGGCATTTCCTGCAAGTATGCTGATATAAATATTTGGTGGTACTGCTGCATTTGCCAGAGCAAAACCTCCATGCACTTCTTTCTCTCTTTTATAGGTATGATGAGATGAGCATTCTTTTCACTATCCTGGTCAGTGATGCCACACTGGAGAATGGTGTAGTCCAGCTGAGAAGCAGGGACACCACAATGAAGGAAATGATGCATATATCAAGATTAAAGGACTTTTTAACAAAATACATTTCAGCAGCTAAAGATGTATGAGCAACATTAAAAGACAATTTTGTATCTTCCTTTCTGAGTGGCTCTTCTCCATTTTTTACAGTGAAAGCCATGAAACTCCATTTCTGATATGTTGCTGAGTTTTCTAGGAAGTTCTTTATTTCAGCCCGAGAGAGGGAAGGAGTGGAGCATCTGAGACAGAGCCCTGAAAATTCAAAGACACAGATTTATGTTTTGCATAATGTTATATTGCCGTATTTTTATAAGAACAGGAGTTATGCTGGTCTTCAGAATCTGCCACTTTGAAGCTATCCACAGGACAGAGGAATCATATTCTATCACAGCTTTTTAGAATATTTAGTTGGAAGAGTGCATTTTTGCTCAATGGGTTTTTTTATGGTTCTTTTTTTCAACAGATAAGCTAGGGATAGAGGAACCAGTGAGCTGTGTAGGGTGAGACTGCAATCAGCTGAAGCTGCAGTTAGCCATAATAAACCTTTCTCCCTTTTAAATGCAAATGACATATTCAAACTTTTAACATATGCTAATTTAAATACCCTGAGGCCCATGTACAGAATCAATGAAGATGAAAAAATATATCAGGAAATGGAGTAAATTTCCTGTTTATTGTTTTGGTTCCTACATGTGAACCTTACATGATTTCAATCAAAATTATCAGCTTGGAGGCAGGATTTGAGGTGGAAATACTAATGAGTATTTTGTATATGGAAAAGACCAAAATCTTTTCTTGACTGTATTGTATTATTTTGAAAGCCTAATAATATAAACACAACCCATGTTTTCTTACTAAACACAAACACCTACCAACAATTATATGCTTTTATGCATACATGTTATAAAATATCAGTCATCTATACAATACAAAAGTTTATGATATTCAAACCACCGTAACTGGAATCCAAACCACATTGATTCAAATATATATACAGCATGAAACATGGGTTTTGTTTATATAGTCTTTTAGTGCACCGTGTTTCTTTCTGTTTTTTGGGGTTGTATTGTTTTCAGACTATTTAATGTGATACTAGAATTTGTGCTGACTAGTAATTGTCATATGAAGGATGATGTACCTATTGATATATCAACATAATGAAATTAGGTCACCATTAAAGCAGTTGGTGCAAGAAAAATCTTGAGAGATTGCTAAAGATCAGAGGAAGCAGAAATTGCCTTCCCTGACATTACAGCCACCCAGGACCGGGCCATTTGTGTTGTCTTCCTACACAAGCATGCTTGGATTTGTTACCCATCATGTTGTACAGCATTAGAAGCTGGCTTTAAAGATACTACCTAGGAGGTGACCCCCCGCAATGGAATCCTATGGTACCAAAGATTGCCCTCTCGGGAGGCTTAAGCTAGTGTAGGCTCTCCCCACCCTCCACAAGGAGATAGGGAGGAGTCTGGACAACAGTGGGGCTTTCCAGCACGACTGCCCTCTTCGTTAGGTGGCTGCTGAGAGTGGGACAGTCTGCAGTTTGGCGAGGGTGACTACTCTCCCCACCCTCCACAAGGAGATGGGGAGGAGTCTGGACAACAGTGGAGCTTTCCAGCATGACTGCCCTCTTCGTTAGGTGGCTGAGAGGGACAGTCTGCAGTTTGGCGAGGGTGACTGAGATGCCAGAGGGTCGGGTTCTCAGTCACCCTGGTCTGAGGAGTCCCTCAAACAAACATGGAACCTATACCAGCTGAAAAGCTGACCTTACAAATTCTCTCCTACTGGAGGCAGGGCAAGGGTGGGGATCATTTCTGCCAAAAACATGTGAACTGTCAGGAGATACATAGCTGTAATATGGCAAAAGAACAGTTTGGTTGAGATGGTTTGCCGCAAAGGTTATGTTGCAGGGAGAAAAGGTAGCAAGTAAGTCTTAAGATCGGATGACACAACAGCTAACCGTGGCTTGTATCTGAACAGAAATAACCAATTCTTGATGCATCTCTCTTCAAACTATGCGATTACTGTTCACAACAAAAACAAGAACACGAAGTTCGGAGTCCATACAGTCATAGCCTGAAATCCTGTTATGTAACTTACAGCTGCAGAAGTGTGAGAAGGTACATGACAGGGAGACAATTTTTGGTAATTAAAAGCTTCCTACTTCAGTCCCCTTTCATTGATTGGGAGTTGCAGGACAGAAGGAAGAAGTTTTTATTGAAAATTGACTTTTCTGAAAGATGTTACTAGATTTTTGGTAAAGATTTCTCCCTTTTGACCCCACCACTTCCAAGCCATGTAAAAGGTTGCATGGGAGTCAGAAAAGTCTTGGGACAGAAATAAGAAATTTTAAATTGACAAAAATATTTTTCCCTGTGAGCGTGACATCATCACTGTTTTGCAGCCATAACTTACACAATAGGATTTTTAGTTATAAAGTGGCATGAACATAACAGACACAACTAGATGATAAGACAGAAATCTCTGCCATATAAATCCAGGGGAAAGTCTTGTACCTCTTTTATCTTCTATTTAAGATTTCTGCGTAGGTCACTCTAGTGTCTTCAGTGAGCATTTCTAGAGTTAATTAGAAATGGATATTGTGATAAAGACATGGGAATTCATTATATAAAAATAACTTGAATCATAATAATTGATCTGTATCATTTCAAAAGTGTTACAGTGTTATACACCTTTCATGCAACAAGGTAGCAATGGTAATTTGTTACCAACAGGTTCCTCTTGTTTCGTTGTTTTGAATAAGCCTCATCACTCTTGTTTCACCCAAATCTTTGAGATGCTGGAGTGGAATGTATTTCCCAGCGCCAGTTGTGGGAAGCTGCTTGTCAGTTTTGCTACTTGTCACGTCTATACTTTATTATATAACAGAATAAAACTATGACAATAATCCTATTGGTGATTTATGCGTGTGCAGGAGAAATCCTGTCAGGGCAGCAGATTACTGCTTGTTAATGAGGTGCTGGTTGCATTTATGGGATTATGCAATCAGCAGCTTGTTAATGAGTAGCAATTTGCCAGTGTGAGGTAGACTTTCTTCACGCAAGAGTACATCAACAATAGGATTCTGGCCTATGAAATCTTATGTACTATTTCACTTAGCTTTTAAAATCTAAAATAAGTGTTAGTATGGCTGAAAAAAAATAATGTTAGGGTGTGATTCACCACCTATGTATGGTCACAAGTTGCGTTTATAAATATTACTTCCATCACATATTTCTCAAAAGATGAGAAATTACAAAATACGCTACAATTTCCCAGTATCTTGTGGTCAGTTCTGTTGTTGTGTATAGAGTAGAATGCTTAGTGAGGTAGCACTTTGATGGACTGACGCTATGATTCCATTTCTGAACACCTTCAGTTTTAATGGTGTGTGATTGTTTTAAAGGCACATACAGTATATCTGAATATGTCACAAAATGTGCATTTTAATGAATGCCCTTATGTGACAATAGTGCCATGCTGGGTGGCATCTGGACCATTTGCTTGTGCCACATCGTTTGCAATTTAGCTACTGCTATGTCTGTCATAGAATGATAATTATATCCTGTCAAGTTGCTTCTGACTTAATGGAAATCCTTTCCAGAGTCTTTGTGGCATAGAGTACTCAGAGGTGGTTTATTATCCTCTTCTTCTGGGGGCGTACCCTAGAACTATGTAGGTCACCCAAGTCCACCCCTTCTCTTACAAGAAACCTGCAGGAAATGGACCTCCTTACCTCTGGCTCTGCGGCCAGGTACTCAATTCATAACTCTTTAAACCAGGGCATTAATAATATTAAAGGCCCACTGAAAGCAAAAAGGGTATTCAACAAGAAAAACAAAAGATAAAAAAAGAAGTTGCACTTTAAAGACTAACTGCTATATTTTACTGTATATTTTCATGGAACATCATCCGCTTCTTCTGTTCCACAAAAGCTTAAATTAAAATATCAGGGGAGGCCTTTCTCTCAGTCCCACTACCTTCACAGGTGCGTTTGGTGGGGACACGGGAGAGGGCCTTCTCTGTTGCTGGTCCCAGACTTCGGAACTCCCTCCCACAGGAGGCCAGGCTGGCCCCACTATTGCTGTCCCTCCTCAAGCAGGCAAAGACCTTTCTCTTCAGGCAAGGTTTCCCTCAGTGACTTGGCTGTCTGAGTGAGGTTTTTAAATAGATTATTGTATCACTGCTGTGAATGTGTTTTAGTGTTGCTTATGTTTTGCAGTACAGTATGTTATTTGTTTGATCCTTAGTATTTGTATATTCACACTTGTTAGCTTTAATATTGTCTTTTGATGATGGAAGCCAGCTTGGGTCCTTTTAATGAGAAATGCGGGGTAAAATATTTTAAATCAATAAATAAAATATAGCAGTTAGTTTTTAAAGTGCCACAATGTCTTTATATATATATATTCACAGAGAGAGTATGGTATACAATATATATATATATTGCATTTTGTCTGCAAAGCTTCAAGGGAAATGGTGAATAAGGCATTTTGGTGTTTGTTCTCCATGTTATTTTACTGCTTTCACATCAAGATGATCCACAAGATGAGGCCACTGTTCGCAATTGAGGAGATTTATGTCCCTATTTGGGAACTTGCAAGTGATAACAGCAATCAAATTCTAGTATGAATTTGACTCTTGCATCACTGGATAGTGGCACAGCCGAGAGAGGATTTGTTGTATTAGATTTGTTCTTAGAAGAGTATAACATACATTTGTATTCAGCCTGGTTTTGATCAGTTTCCCAAACAGAAGATTTTACCCTTTCTGCTGTCTTCCACCTTGACCTTAATTCTCACATCACAATAATTAGTTGCTTCCTCTTCTCCATATGCTGTGCAGAAGATAAGGAAATTAAGTGAGAAGATGCGTTAAAAAAGCATTTCTGGCTTGCAAAACAACCGTACCCCTCCATGGTGTGTAAACTTATGTATTTGTAAGTAAACCCCTTTCAAGTTCTGTTGTTTCTGTAGGTTTTGCCGTGTCCTGTATATATGACAAACAGGTTGGACACCTTGCTTTGGAAGCCATGGTCAGAAATGGATCAGGAGTAAAATAGCTGAAAATGGCCCTAAGGCTCAACAAAAGTGAAGGTAGATTTAGGTCACACGGAGTAGAGAATACTCCCCACCTCCTCAGCTTAGACTGGTTTTATATTCAGCTTCTTACACTTCTTTTGTTTATTCCTCAGTAAGGACAGGAGGAAAGTCTTAAGTTCGACTATGGCATGTTGAAATGAGTAGTAGTTACAGGCCCTTAGTTCTTTGGGCACATAGTACTTCACAAATGAATGTCCCTAGTCTGCTTCCTTTTTCACTGTTTTTTTGCCATCTCTACAAGTGTAATACCCCTCCACCTCTATTGTGCTGCTGTAGTTTTTCTTCAAAGTGCACACATCTGCCCTGAGACTTTGGTATGGACAGGATTAAAACACATCTCTGGCAAATCCAGTTCTTGAGGCTCATGTTCCTAGAGGAAGAGTCGAGCATCTCCAGTGTTTCAGGTGACTTTGGCCTACAACTCCCAGAAGCTTTAGTAGCATAGGCAGTGATGAGAAAGTATGGGATGTGTAGACCAAAAGTATCTGGAGGTCCCCAATGGCCCACTCTTTCCTCACACACCATAAGCACCTTGTCTTACTGCAAAATAGGATTTCAATCTTCTGTAAAAACTATCTGTGTTTATTCAGCGTAAGTTTTTGTGGATTGCAGCTCACTGGGCAAAAGTAGTTACTCCTTAAGGTGACACAAGACCCTATTTTTTGTTCTATTTTTTGTGTATGGTTCACGAGCTGCACAGTGGCAGAGAAAAAGGCAATTCAAGGGGTGATCAAGACGGCCCAAAACATCATTGGCTGTTCACTCCCCTCTTTGGAAGAATTGTATAAGAACAGATGTAAGAGGAAGATACTGTGTTTACTCGGCAAAAGTTTTTGTGGATTGCAGCTCACTGGGCAAAAGTAGTTACTCCTTAAGGTGACACAAGACCCTATTTTTTGTTCTATTTTTTGTGTATGGTTCACGAGCTGCACAGTGGTGATGAGAAAGTATGGGATGTGTAGACCAAAAGTATCTGGAGGTCCCCAATGGCCCACTCTTTCCTCATACACCATAAGCACCTTGTCTTACTGCAAAATAGGATTTCAATCTTCTGTAAAAACTCTGTGTTTACTCGGCAAAAGTTTTTGTGGATTGCAGCTCACTGGGCAAAAGTAGTTACTCCTTAAGGTGACACAAGACCCTATTTTTTGTTCTAAATATTTTTAATTTTAAATGTTAACAGCAGCCCCATGCTATTCTGATCATTATTGAAAGAAAACAGAACTACAGAGTATCTTTTTCCTGTTTATTGACCTAGCTTCCACAGAGAATCAAGTACTTTGCAAACACAAAATGTTGGTTTGTTCTCTTGAAATAATTTCTATCAAGATGGGATTTAATTACTTTCTACCACACTATTTCAGCAATGGTGCGATTTATTTATTTTTAAATGTTAAATTCTCGGTGTTCTACAAAAGGCGAAAGGAAACTGCCTGGCAACTCCTGGAACTTCTTTATTTTCAAAAGAAGGCCTGCAGAGACCACTGGTTTCTACACTTTCTCCTTCAAACGCTCAGAAATATCCCCACATACGTATTATTCAATAATATTTGGATATGCAAAAAGTAAATTGCTCGGACTTTACCAGCATCATCATAAATTCCACAGTTTCCTGGACTTGGATAATGAGCTGATACATAACTAGTGGGCTTGCTGGCTGACTTCCCTTTTCCTGTAAAAAGAAACCAAATATCAATGATGTTTTAACAAATACCACACCAGTGAGCACCTTTTCTGTTGTCCGCTAGAGCCTCCCCTCCTTGGCTTTTTCTCTACTGTCTTGGGAAAGGGCCTGCATTCTCTTGTATACCTGAAACTACACAAACCAGAGGAAGGAGGGCTTTATCAAGGAAGTCTGGATGACTTAGAAGTGATCTAGTGCCCTCTGACTTCAACTTCTGTCATCTCTGGCCACTGTCCATACTGGCTGAGGAGAGATTTAAATTCCAGTGAGATTTGGAAGGTGGCAGGGTCGCCACATCTGGTTTAGATGTTATACTGGAGGTGGCATAGGCGTTGGAATGGTCAACTCCTCTTCAGATGGGAAGGTCATGCTGCTTAATGACAGATGACAACGCAGCTCCAGAATACTCATGATCACTTTATCTTGGTAGCAAAATTCAAGATGCATTTTTTAAAGGTAACAGAGTCTTAATCATATTCCTCTCTGGTCAACATAACAGCTGCCTACAGAGACCATAACCATTCAAAAAAGAGCTTGCTCACATGTTAGGGGAAAACACATTTTGCTTTCTAGGTTTCCTAGGGCACAGAATGGTTTTGAGAAAAGAGACCAGCAGAGCTGTATTTGAGAAGACATCATAGACTCATGTTAGGAGACACCTTTAAGGTGGACACATTTCTTTATGTATTTATTATGTCATATCATACCGTATATCATGTCTCGCGAACTTCTTTTGATACACAGCTCTCTTTTTGAGATGTAAAGAGTTCTGCTCTGCATGGAGTGTGTGAGATATGGTACATACTTCTGTTTGCAGATAGGGTACAAACACTGGAGTGAGTATGATTGCAAATACCAGAATTATTTATAGTGATACATATGCTGTAAACATCCTGACACTGGGCGATGTGATAAGAATCTTTTACATGTTCCTGAAGCTACTGAAGATGACAATATTCAGTCTCTCTACGGTCACGCCAAAGCAATATGCATCTTTTAGTCATCTAGGTGTTATGCAATATCTAAAATCCTGTTGCTTAGTGTAGTATATTGTGCCAAAGGAGGCTCATTGAATCAATTAGGATTTGGTGCGTTCCATTGATTGAAATAGGCCTGCTCTAACTGCAAGGTAATATGCTCATCAGTGAGTTAGAATAGGCCCTTTTGAATCAATGGAACATATGAAGGAGTTGACTCACGAAATCTCCATTGATTCAATGGATCTATTCTAATGCAATTTACTAGACTAAGTATGACAATTTTGACCTACATACCTCTTTGTTATTTTGCTGCAACAGACTCACACACTTACCCCTGCCATACTTACTTGCTTTACACCAAGGAAGGATTAGCAAGGGAAACGTTATGACAACTGTGAGTAGCAGCAGCAACAGAAGCAAAGGAGCAACAATTAACGCTACCAGTCTGTTCTTGTCTTCTGTGGATGCTGGGAGGAAAGGTATGGACACAAATGTTAAGGTAGACATGGTTAAATTTCCTGTCCAGTGTAATATTTGGAAGTAAAATGAATTAATAATGCCTTGGATCTGGCTTGTTCTTCAGTGGGGTGTGAGACAAAAGGCGAGAGGGATACCCCACTCGCTGGAGAGCTGTCCCTCCCCCACAATGAGGATAAGGAGGCAAGACCCCGGACAGCACCAGAGCATACGGCAGAAGCTCAGCAAGGGACAGAAATAGAGGAGCTGACTGAAGAGATGCAGAAAGTAAGGATGGGAGAGGTTCAGGAGGAAAAAGCAGGAAAGGAGAGGAAAAAGAGGGTGGAGTTTGAGGCAGGAAGGGAGGGGAGGTAAAAAGGAGAGAGAGTCAGCTTATTTATTTATTTATTTATTTATTTATTTATTTCATTTCATTTCATTTCATTTCATTTCATTTCTATCCCGCCTATCTGGTTATATTCGACCACTCTAGGCGGCTTACAATCCGACAACAATAAATTTTTAAAAACATTACAAGTAAACAAAGATAAAGATCAAAAGAATATAAGAAGAAAAAGAAAAGATCATCAGGGATTAGCTGTTGGGAAGGCCTGCCTATACATAAGTGTTTTTAATTGTTTCTTAAAAATGCCCAGCGAGGGAGCCGTGCGAATCTCAGGAGGTAAGTTGTTCCATAGGCGAAGAGCCACTGCCGAGAAGGCCCGATTTCTGGTCTTCTCATTCCGGGCCTCTCTCGGCGTCAGGCTCCTCAGCCTCACCTCCTGGCTCGCGCGGGTGACACGGGTAGATCTTGGTGGGAGAAGGCGTTCCACCAGGTATCAAGGTCCTAAACCGTTTAGGGCTTTGTAAGTAAGCATCAATACTTTGAAGTCAATGCAGAATCGGATGGGCAGCCAATGCAATGTGGCCAGAGTGGGGGAGATATGTTGGTATTTTCTCACTCCACTGAGTAATCTGGCCACAGCATTCTGCACCACCTGTAGTTTCTGCAGCAGCCTCAAAGGTAGCCCCACGTAGAGCGCATTACAGTGGTCTAATCTTGAGATTACAAGCGCATGTACCAAAGTAG